GGTCTATTATTTATCATGATTTCCACCCTAGACCCCAATCAGATTACCTGAATCAATTTAGATCAGTATTTCAAAGACTGAGTAATTATTTATGGAGAGGTTAAATAAATACTTTATTATTGACGTGTATTTAAAAAAGAAAACAGTTACAAAGTTAATGAATTATTACCAATCATTCACTCCTATTTTCAGTACTTTTAAACGACTAAGTAAGTAAAAACAGCGTATTTAAATCAGGGTAAAATTTGAGGCTTGAACTCATAAGTTACTCAGTAAAATCGGAAAACCATATCGTAAATCGTTAATTTGCAAAATATCAGTTCATCATATCGAACTGGACTGTTCCTGTTGCAAAACATCAATCCGTTGTCACTATTGATGCGTTTCATACAAATTCCATTGTTTTCTAACTCTTCCTTTCTTGATCTTCTCCCATCTTCTGCTGCCAGACATTACGTTGACACTCACGTCATATACTACTTATAAGTAGCTCGCACCACATTATTAATGATCGTTGTGTTTGGAAAATAATATGATGAACTAAGTACCTAATCAGAATCCATTGGTTTCTGTTTACATTTCTTGATTTAAAATAGGATATATATATATATATATATATATATATATATATATAATGCATTTTTGCATTTAGTTTTATTATACATCGCCATAATAACACGTAGTTAAATGTTTCATTAAATTTATCACTCACTGTGTACATCGTGGGCCAGCAGCAGCCTTGTGAATTAGAAATATAATCTAATTAACGCTGCATACACACTGATTGACATTTTTTTATTCTTTACGGAATCAAAATCACTAACATGGATAATACTCAGTAATTTGTTCAATGATGGTAAAAACATGTTAGTTTTATTGTGAAAAAGAATGGATAGAAAATTCTATGTTTTTTCTAAATTTGACAACTTGTGATGGCCAATTTCTACGTGTTCTTAGTCATCGTAATAAGCTCGTCCAGACAATCGTTACTAAATGGCGTCTGACGGTTTATAAATCAGAAGGCGAATTCGAAGTGTTGAATACGTTTATTTTGGCACACACCACAAATAGGGATAGCAGACCACAAGTAGACCGGGCAGGTACACTAGTGAGCGAATGTGCGAGTGAATTAATAAGATTAAAATGTTCGTATATATACATAGGAAAATATCTGAGTCATATTTAAGAGATCAATATTAAAGCGAATAGGATGCATATGCGCGTAGGCGTTAAGCAATGCTCAGTCATACCAGCTCATACAAACCACACAATAATAAAAGCCAGTGGTACATAAACGTTATTGTTATACAAATAGCTTGGTTAAATAAATTAATCGAAATGGCTTAACCAAATTAAATGTAAGCGAACTCGAATATACGTAGAGGCACTACAATAGTCCCCTTCAAGCAAACAAGGTTACGAAAGTGTATTTGTTTGCGAAAAGAAATCAAAATTGTCGGAAAACATCAAAAGTTTAGAAAGTTAAAGTTATCTTGTTCGCATACGTTCGTAAAGTCGCAAACGAACAGAAGATCAAACAAAAGTATAGCAACGTTTTTAGGTTACATCTCAATTTCGAAATACATAAAATGTGTCTGTAGTCAACGCCCCTTTAACCGTCACTCTAGTGAAGGTTGACGAATGGGCAAAAGTCAAGAAAAATGTCACTGAAGTGCCTGACCTAATAAGAAAAGTTCGGAAACCGAAGACTGATCACAGTGACTGGCCAGTCTTTTTCACAGAGTAAAGGAGAGTGAAGGCTTTGAGTCTGAAGTCCTCTTCAAATCTGACATTAGTTCTCTCAAAAATGCTTATGTCTCAAGACACCCTTCCAGTCATCTTACTTCAAGTTTATAGACGGCTAAGCCTAAAGGACTGACAAGAAAATCAGACTACATTGCTAATAAACAGTATTTCAGAAGCCTAGTGAAAGGGACTTAATACAAGGGAATAGACATAAACCGAAGGGATTGGGATCTTTTATCTATAATAACTGTATTCGAAAACGAGAGGCTGAAGGGAACCAAAACTATGAATAGATGCCGGAGAGAAGCAACTAGGAGTTGTAAGTTTCCGAGTAAGTATACGTCGACAGAGAATGATGTCGATGCCACTTTGTGTGCAGCACGAAGTCATCTAAATGGTATTCGGGTATGCTACACGAATGCACGGAGCTTACTCAACAAGAGATGGTAGCTAGGTGTACAGATAGACTGAATTAAGACGGACGTAAATGTTATCACAAAAACCGGGCTGACTCAGTCTGAAGGCGATGATGAACTTGATCTGTAAATTCGATATTGGCTCTTACGGATGGAATACAAAAACCCATAAGGGGAGTACAAGTCTCATTTATTAGAAATACTGTCCTCTTTATCTTTGTCGACTACATGTCCCATGAAAGTTGGACATGTGAACAAGTAAGTTGCCACTTGGAGTTCAAGAGGCAAGAGCTGCTGGATGGCTTGGATGGTGGCATCAAAAACTGTGAAATGACTGAAGCCTACTTTAAACAACGCAACACTGGGGGTGGGGCGTTACAATGCTCCTTTGGTGGACTGATAAAATCTAAAATATGGATTAACAGAAATTTCTTCTGAACAGAAATTAGCTGGCGCAGTTATTACAAATTCTGTAGAGTAACATGTAAATATCGACTAGGCCCGACCCTTACTAGATCTGACAGTGACCCATTATGATCTGATTACTTGCCACTGCTAGAGGTGGACTATGCAATTCTAGTCTTTGATTTCTATAGCGTTAACGTCAACGATGTGTCAACTCGTGCAAGACCAAATGTTTGAAGGACAGATAGACGAGGACCGTACACTCAGCAGCCTCAGTAAACCGTAAAATAGAGCCAGAATCGTTTACTGAAAACCCCTTGCTGTGCATTCAAAAACATAAACTTAAAAGTCATTGTACCGCACACTCCTAGGACCGGATTGTAGAATCCTTTTTGAATGTTTTGTTTTTTGGAAAATCCCTCCATGTTTACATATTTTTGTTATGACATGACGGACCTTTTCTGTTGACATTTTTGGTATTGCTGGTCCATGCTGGTTTTCGTCCTGTAGTCGAATGATTCCAGGACCACAAAATCTTATTTCCGAACATGCCGCTTTATTTAGAATTTCTTGCATCAGTGTGCATAGTCTGCAACTGATGTTTGACAGTTTATTTTGCCTTAATTATTCACAAACTCCGTGAATTTGATCAAGTTAGACATTAACACCGTTAGTTACCGGCTCAGTGGTCCGATGGTTAGGCGGTCGCCTACAATACCGAAGGTCCTGGGTTCGAATAATGTGGCGTGCAGGAGTCATGAATGCGCACTTCCGAGAAGTCCCATACAAGGACGGAACGGCCGTCCAGTGCATCCAGGTTTCTAATGGTGGTCTAACATTGATTGGTTCATGGTTTCAAAAACATTTATTAAATCTCGTCAGACAAGTTACCGTAAAATTTGTTTGTCAGTCTTTATTGAATGAGTTGTTGGTTATGTGTCGAAGATTTAAAATCAACGTTCTACAATGTTTGCGTTATCTTTCATTTCCCATTAGTTTAGGCATTTCAGATTTGCTACTATTTATTATTTCAATATGATTTTATTAAATATTTCATAATCGGAGTAAATGTGAGTTCAGTTGAACATCGTTAGTGAGGAGGACGATTGTACATGAATTCATGGAAATATTGATACATTTGTTGTAAATTTATTTGCTGACGATCGGATGAAATTGTCGATAGAAGAAATTATGCTAATTACTTTACTCAATATTTCATAATTGTAGTAGGAATGGCAGAGAGTATTCGTATTTCAAATCGTGACCGATCATCACCGAATGATATGAATAAGTACAACAGAAACTGTTCTGCATTTCGTTTAGTTAGCATATGTCGTTCGAAAATTAGTTTTTGTGGTCCTGGAATCATTCGACTACAGGACGAAAACCAGCATGGACCAGCAATTTCGATCACTTTTTATAAACTGAAATATTCTACTGAAATAATTTTACATAATCTATAGATGCCAATTTTGTTACGAATATCTTCGACAATAAAACAAGTGAAATTCACTTCGCGGAATGTAAAACATTTCCACAAATGTGCTTCCTGATCAGCATCAATTGAGGAATTCAAGCGTCACGTAATTGACAAACTAATCAACATTGTCAACTCTCGTCGATTGACATATTTCAATCACGTGGTCTGCGGTTGCATGGAAGATGGATTTTGAGATCGGTTGCCTAATGCAACAACTTCCTGAACCATGTGGAAACGTGAACGACAATGTAAGATGAAAACAAATGAAAATCAATGAGTTGAATTACTATGAATTCAAAAAGGTCATTTGAAGATAGTCAGATTCATAAAAATAATAATGATAGACACTTTTCACAAAACAAACACACAAAGCACTTTTAAATACCGTCACAATCAGGAACACACAAACTGATAAATAGTAAGAAAAATGAAATTAGTTCTTGCATACTGAGATGCCATGATTTGTAGTGACTCAAATATTACACTTGATGCGAATCGGTACAATGTGGTCAACTGCAATGAGAACAGTGATTACACACACACACACACACACCTGACGAATAGTATGAGGAAGGCGATGGATGAATCAACAACAAACGATTACTCATATGTGTTCAACTGATATAATTTCTTGATTGTTAGTTAAATGAAGAGGGTCACAGTAATGACCAACCAGTAAGGGATTAAACAATTGTTAAGTGTTGGGCGTTTCACTCAAATTATATGCGTTGATTGACGCTTATCGACAGAGGTGAACACCTCCATTTAACACTACTCATTCATACCTGATCATTCGACTGATTTGTATTCTCCAACAATACAACCAAACACTCATAAGACTAAATGACAAGTATCAGAGGTCAGTTTAGTCACCGTAGCATGTGTTGATTAACCGACCAGCTGACCTAATGCAGTATATAAATAAGAGCAGACAACTGATCGTTCGTAAGTCACACAAGCAGTGCAAGTCTGGTCTCATCGAAATGTCTTCCAAATGTTGTGGTGACCTGTTGACAGTGGTGTTGTTGATGTGCTGTTTACTAGTGTGTTTCAGTGTTCATGCGCGTTTGAATGAGGCGATGAGAACGGAGTTGTTGACTCTGCACAATAACGCAAGACAATCTGTTCGCAATGGTCAGCTGCAAGGACAACCGAGAGCAGTCTCAATAAAATCACTGGTAAGAATAACGCTTCTCTCATACAAATCAATGTTCATGCAAATTTTGTTTTGATTTGGCCAGGTGGATTTCAGTGTACAATTCATTTGCTTTGATTGCAGACACATGTTAGTGATGAGAGTGATAGAGAGTGTGAGAGTGGGAGGCAGAGAGAGAGAGAGAGATAGGGAGAGAGAGATTGAGACGGTGGTTGGATGTGTGTGAATGTAGGTGGCAGTTTGTTGATGATCGGATGAAATGGTTGTTGATTTGTTTTGTGTGGTAGGTAACCAACTGACTGATTAACATCAATGTGTAGATGTGACAATGTTGTTAACACTGCTGAACATGCTTGTTTCGAATGACAGTGGTTGGTGAGATATAAGTTGCTTAGAATGATGTTTAAGTGGACAATGTTTGACCTCAGATGAGTAGGTTGATGGAAGTCGGTCAACTCAATCAGCAACACGGTTTCCCTTTCAGCATTCCTAGTTACTTGAAATAATTTGTTCGATGTGAGATGTGTCGACATGCATGCTCACAGATGAGCGGACAATCGGGTTGTTGTGAACATGTGAGTATGACTAATGTCATATGTCAGGTGAATGCGACAGTCTAAGCCGATCGGATATTTCCATTTTTCAATGGAGCATCCTATGGAGCATCATTCGTGCATAGTTTGTATCAACTCAAAAATAAACAAAGAATTTGTTTCAGTAGTTGCTTGAATGCCAGACAAAATACAATCTCTAAGTCATGTTAAATTGATGTGATGACAGCGAATAACACTTCACAGAATTTCATTCGTTTCAATAACGTCGTTATATTAGTAAATGCATAGTAAATGAACACCTAATTAATTGCTCACTCAATCAAATTTATACAGAGATGGAATACGGAATTGGAGAGGAAAGCACAAATGCTGTCTGACAAGTGTCGTGTTGGACATGATACAAATGCTGATCGTAAAATACCACAATTTCAATATGTTGGACAGAATTGGGCAGGTGCGAAAGACATAAAAACGTAAGTGTCTCACGTAAGTGCATTGTGTAAAATGTGTGAATCCCATCAAATCATGCACTTGCGAATTTCTCATCTGCATTGATAGGCGTGTTATATCAACCATCTAATCGACCGACATGCACCATCATCATCATCATCATCATCATCATCATCATCATCATCATCATCATCATCATAGCAGACTGAAGTCGAGTCGCTCTAATATTATTCAATCAATTACTAAACATCTGCTCGCTGCTACACAATCATCACCAAACGTCACTCCAATTTCCACAAACACTCACTCAAAAACACACACACTTTTCCAACAATCCACTCGTCACTCCACTTATCACGGACGACGTGGTTGTGGAAGTCGATGTGACGAAGACAGGTGAGTGAGGAGAGATTGAGGCTGATGCTGAAACAAACAGGATGGACTGGTGTCACACTCAACAAGTGATCGCATCGAACCGTCAACTGATTGCAATCAGTGTGACCACAGACCGATGTCACTCAACTCAATTCATCACAGACTTGCTTGACCTGGACACAACAATAATCCAGGTGATGTGTTGAGATGAGCTGCATTTTGCGTGTTCATCTGTGCAGTGGAATCCTTCTTGTTCCCAGTTAAACATGTCATTTTACTCTCATGTATCTGATTGTTCATTTTTGCAAATGTTCCATTTCCTGTTTCGTTTGTTTGTTGTTTTTCAACTTGCATCAAGCGGATTCCAATTATGGCTGGATGAATACAAGAACTACGACTTCTACACAAAAACCTGTCGTATGGGTCAGTGTGGTCATTATACTCAGGTAAGCATTACAACCAGAACACTCACTGCATTCTTGTTAAAATAATTGCATCTGAGACAGTTGTCAAGTCGACTACTGATCACAGATAGACTGTGATTGATGAAATGCCAAGCAGTCTAACATAACAACAGTTTGTAACATGCAAATATCCGTTGTCACATCAACACACATATGGGGGGGGGCATTCTACATACTGTCTGCTCTACGCTCTGCTCCCTGTCAATGTGTGTGAATGATGTGAAATCGGTCGGAAGAACCAAGTGCTTCTCGTTGTGATCATTGACTGTTGATTTTAGAGAACGACACGAAACATGTTCTCTCTCTCCCAACACACTACTCATCAGCTTACCATCTGTTTGTTCATTGCAGATTGTTTGGGAAGACACTACTGATGTTGGATGTGGTGTTACGAAATGTCCCAATTTCCCATACGGACTGAGCATTGTGTGCAATTATGGACCTGGGTAAGTGATCGTCAACATCATTTTGATTCACTTCACTGAATTGTAACCTGTACTTCTCTCTGCATGTCTCAATGTAATACTATGTGGTTGAATGTTTTTGGTATTTTTCACTAGCGTATTTTTTATATATATCCAGTTTTCTTTGTTCTGCGTACCACACTGTTCACTGTGCACTGATTTTACTTAAACTCTCTTCTCTTAGTGAGTTTTATTTTAAAATGTGTTCTAATATGGTGTTATCGACTTCGTTCTACATGTTGATCATATATTTTGACCACCTAAATAATTATTCACACATTCATCTGTTTGGAGTGCCATTCTATTTTCTATGATCATCATTCCTTGACTGTGTCCGATACTTGACAAGAGTATATATAGTAATTAATACAGTTCTCTTTTGTTGTTCACTTTACTAACTGCTCATTTTCTCATTCGATTTCAGAGGCAATTACATAGGACGTCAGGCATATCAAACAACTGGAGAAAGCATCAATACTGAGTCGCAACAAAATCAACCACCATCACGACCACCACAAGAAACCAACACTAACACGTATGATAACAATGATGAGCCGCCATCTCCTTCTTCATACTTACAATATCCTACTAGTTCAAACTATGGTTCAAATAAATTAATTCCGAACTCCATGTATAATTATGAATAAGTGTTATGTTTTCGAAATTATTTCTATTGTTTCAATTGTTTTATAAACAATCAACACACTGTATTTTATATTTTGTATCCAACTGAAATGGTGTTTTACACATCGAAAATACAAATTTCTACTTTTTCAAATAGTGTGTTTGTTCTGTCATGAAAATGTTCATCTCTGTTGGTTACACACAATTCAAGGATATTGAGAATTTCAAAAGAGTCTAATAGTAATACAAGTACATGTACAAGAACAAGTTTTTAGTTATAATTTACTAGCAGACAGAAATCCACAAGCTTTCTTCATAATTTGAGTCTACCAATTATTTTTCTCATCAGTCAAATTGAATTTTATGTATTTGATTGATTGATGATGATGATGATCATTGTAAATGAGGTTTTGTACATAAATTCATCTGAGTACTTACTACTTGATCTGAAGTTTCAAGTGTATCAATCATCTGAATCGAATTATGCATGGTAATCAATCAATCAATCGACTTGCTGTTTTAACTAATATCTTAAAAACTATGAAAGCAAATAGATTTCAAAATAATCTCACTGTCTCAAATAGAGACTTCTTAAAAAAAACCAAAAGTTCAGTAGTTCTTCATACAGTTTTCTGTTAAACATCTTCATTTTTGATCTGAGAACTACTAAACACATACATCAGCACACATAGATTCAATGAATTACACACCAACTTGGCTAAACATAACAATGTTTATGTATTGATTGTTATGTCAATGGAGAGAATGGATAATAGAAATCGGATACACGAAATATCGCTTCGAATAAATTGACTGGTTGGATAACTAGATGTGGTAGAACACAACTGGTGTACAGAATGATAACAGACGGGAGACAATAGACTCGATGACAACTTAAGGAATATCATTGAACTATGTGTTGACAAATTGCATTACATCACAACCAAAAATCACAGAAACAAAACACAACAACAAGAACAACGAGAAACCAATAATTGAGACGGAAATATCGAAAATTCAATTTCCTCATAATTATTTATGATACAAAGTGATCTAATATAGGGAATCCTGAAACATAAATGTTAAAGAAAATTTCAATTCAACAGATTGAATAGAAGAATACTGACAACTAAATTCATCGTTCCATGTGACGGTTACATCTGCTACCTGACCTGAACGTCGAGAGGTGATGAATTAGTAGTTTAAAATGTCAAGATTTACTTTCGAGGTTATAAATGATGATAAAATTGAAATCGCGGATCAAATGGAATGAGATATATCCCCAACTTGATGTAAACTGGTGTTATAACTACTCACATACGTTTGACCTTGTATACATTATTTACTTTGATTAGGCCGTTTGGATTAACTTGTTTAACAGACATTCATTCGTATAGCAATAACCTAAATGTGCCATTCTGCATTTATTATTGTCGCGTTTGAATGGGATGGTAGAACTGAGCATCGTTTTAATGTTAGTCAGTTGAACGTTTCGAACAGTCATTGTTTTTCCTGCATACATATATATATGAACATTTTAATCCTAATCACTGACCCACTCGCTATTTGGCACTCTCATATCATTCTCACCCTCGTTTTGTGTGTCTGTGTTAAAGTGATCAGTATGATGCGATCATTAACGTAATCGACGCTTCGTATTCGTCTACTGATTAACATATCGTTGAGCGTTATCTGGTAACAGTTATCAGGACGATGTTTGGGAATTATATGGAATGTCGACCGAGACAGTGTGCACTCTCATCACGGGAATGGTAGATGTGTACTAACTAATGGTTTTGGTCGGATGTCGATGCCGAACTGTTGTTTACTAATAATGTTGTAGTGATCGAGTCAAGATACCAGAATGACTGTGATCACCACTAAATATTCCATACGGTCCAGTTTTTAAAATCAAAATAACTCCATGTTGCGCCCAAGAAGTTGAAGATGTGTATTCGGTACAGTTAAACAAATCGAGTACAATAATGTTTATTTTTCACTAATCGTATTTTCCTCGTAGAAGTGTGCCACTACAGCAGCCCCTGCCTAGAAAGGGTTCACACTTTCGATACATAGCGGCTGCGTTCGGGGGGATGGGAGGGGGCTGGTCGCCCAACATTTGATTTTAGTGAGGAAGGGTTGATGAACAGGAAGCGACTAATGAAGCTCGAGTTGTCACCGACAGTCTTTTACGTTGAACTGTTCCAGTAGTAACGTGCCAGGTTTGCTGCTCGATTTGACGTGCCAAGTTTGTCTATCAGATTTGCGTTCCACACCAGCGTGGCTCGTATCCAGAGTCTGAAGATTGCGTTCGTAGGCGTTCAGACCTGATAAAGCTGCAGACGTAAGACAGAATCAGATTGAACGAAGGAGCCAAAAACGATGATAACGACCAGTGCGAAACCATTCGTATACCAGATATATTCGTAACCAGAAAATCGACTGAGTGCATTGACAAGAGCGTGTGTGGTCAGGCCAGCTTTCGTCAAGTTTGACTGAAGTCGACGGTAACAACAGAGCAATGGTCGGAGGTATAAGCTCGGGATAAAAAAATCAAAGAAAAGGAGAAAAGTGATTCATGCATGTAGTATGAGTGTAAAATCCTATGCCGCACCCGTGGTTGATTGGTAGTTAGTCGAGAAAGCGTACAAGTAGGCGTAGGAGAATAATTCTTACTTCTCCGATTACTTCTAAAATACCTTTACTACCTCTTCTACTATTGGATTTGAATTGACAATTATATCTGTGTGCTGATGTGGTATGGCGACATGAACTGATGTACTTACGTACGAAGTTCTACGTTGCAACTGACTGACTGACTGACTGAGGCGTACGCAGCGACCGTAACGCGAGACCGTAGCCTCGTGCGTACCTCGTGAGCCTGCATTCTCATCAGCAGTCAAGTGCGGCGTGGTCTGCTTATCTGGACGTGAGAATGAGGATTTTGATTTCGCTAGCGTGGGATCAGAAGGAAAAATGAGGATCTCGCTGGTGAGTTGGACGAGTCCAGCATCAAATCTCGATATACCAGGTAGGGCACTGTCACTGACGTGTGCTGGTTTGAGACGATCAATGCTGACTGTGTCAATCAACCTTGAAGGTCTTTTCGTGACGATAGATCACGTGAAAAGATCCTTCTTAAGGTTGTTGAGTACCGAATCTACTAGTAAGAAAACTTGCGGACAGGTAAATAATTCTCGAGGGAAAGCGACGTGTCGATGTTATATTCGAGTTCACACCGTATATGAGTTCGAAGGCAGAACATTGGATACCTGCCGTTGCTGCTCCGTAATCGCCATGTCGTCTCCAACAAATGCCATCTTTCTGCGAACCAAGTGGAGAGAGGAGTCTTAAGGACTGTGAGAAAGACGAAATGATACATATAGCAAGTAAACTGGCAAACTCACGTTTAGCGAAAACTAAGTTGTCCAGTGCCAGTCGGCGAGGTTTTGCCGTGACTGGGGGCCTGCAGGTGACTATGTGGCTCATCACATAATTCAACATCAGTTGAACCTCCTCGGTTTCGTTACTTTGTGGAATTTATCAAATATAACATGAAATAAATAATAATGCAAAAAATTCGGTACATATCTGTTTACGCGTTAAAAACCATGGATTTGATATTCGACGAGGTATCGAATTACGCAGCCTACGTGAATTGACTAGCAATTCATAGTGCTGTAAGGGATCGATACCGAGTATGGCTATGGGAACATCAAAAGGGATGAACGTTCAATAGAAACTTATCATACACACAAATAAAACATGTAAAGGAAAGACATGGAGACTTATCTTGAGATTGGAAAGATTGTTATTTGAAAAAGTTAACTTCAATACATAACAAACATGTGGATGAGGTGGTTTTCTCTAGTGTACAGTTATGACATGACATATGAAATATCAAAAAGACGTTTACAAAAATGATTGGTTTCGGTGTAGGACAATTGTTCATTCTGTTCTGTATAATGGGCGTCCAATGTAATTACCTCTGAAATTTGGTTAGAAAGATGAAAGGTTAGCAAGTTGATTTAAATATGACGAGACTAAGTTCATCAGTTAATTGTTCATGCTGATTTATTAATATCATTGAAGTCGAAACATCAACGTGTATTCACACTCGTGATCATCGAAATGAACTATTGTTGATAATATTCATGAAAATATGAAATGCATGTTTCAGTTTGAACGAGAATTTGAGTGGATGAAACCAGAAGTGAAGTGTATGAGTGATAGTCGGAAACAATGTTCACATTCAACTGCAATGAGGACCACATGCAATCAAAGATTAACTAAAACAGTCAGTAACAAAGCACCATTAATATCCTGGAATTACTGGACTCGGATTTCGACCCAGTATCATACTCATGCAATCATTCAGAGAGTATTTGAATGAGACAGGTTACAATTCAGTGAAGTGAATCAAAATGATGTTGACGATCACTTACCCAGGTCCATAATTGCACACAATGCTCAGTCCGTATGGGAAATTGGGACAATTCGTAACACCACATCCAACATCAGTAGTGTCTTCCCAAACAATCTGCAATGAACAAACAGATGGTTAACTGATGAGTAGTGTGTCGGGAGAGAGTGAACATGTTTCGTGTCGTTCTCTAAAATCAACAGTCAATGATCACAACGAGAAGCACTTGGTTCTTCCGACCGATTTCACATCATTCACACACATTGACAGGGAGCAGAGCGTGGAACAGAGAGTATCTACAACGTTCCCCGTGTGTGTTGATGTGACAACGGATATTTGGATGTTACAAATTGTTATGTTAGACTGGTTGGCATTTCATCTATCACGGTCTACGTGCCTTCAACAAACTGGTCATCGGTGGCACAATTTTCACGCACAAACGCATTCACAAAGCCACATGGATTTCACCAGGCCACAATACTCAAAACCAAATTGACCATATCTGTATGAACAAAATGTTCAGAAGGACCATGGAGGATGTGAGAGCCAAGAGAGGAGCTGATATTGCATCAGATAACCACTTGCTGGTCGCCAAAATGA